CAGAATAATCAGTTTTTCTAACAATTTAGTGGAAAGGATTTTTTTTGAGGTAAGACAAACTAGTTTTTTGGCACGGTGATGTGTGAAGCATTACCAGACAAGGCCAGTGAGATGCTGTAGCGAGTTCTGAAACCTGCTGCAAAATATGTTGTTGACGATTTTATTGTTTTCCTCTCTTTGTTCTGAGGACCCTCTTTTATTTGCACCCTTGTACAAGCAAGCAAATTGTATTTGTAAGCAGCACTAAATGTGAGACCAAAGGGTCTCTAGAATATCAGGAAGGCAAATCCTGTGGATTTGGTATCAGCCAACTGGAGATACAAGGGTGAAATAAGGAATTTTTCATTTAGGATGCTGTATCATTAAGCGCAATAACCAATTTAGAGTCATTGTCTTTCTTCTTTCAGTTGTGGGGAAAGTTCTAGAAATTACTGAGCTGCCAGAAGGCATAACTCGTACGGAAGCAGAGAAACTCTTTGGAGAACTGTTGAAAGTGGGTGCCAAGATCCGGTGGCTGAGGGATTCCCAGTGCCTGCAGCAGCAGCGGCGGCTCTGCGGGGACGGCGGCGGGGGCCCGGAGCGCGCCGGGGACTTGGCGTCCGCCTACACGGTTCTGGCCACCTTCCCCAGCATGGCGGCCGCGCAGAGCGCGCTCAAGAGACAGAGCAGCGCCGCGGTCGGCAAGTTCCGCCTGAGGAGCAGCAAGAAGCACTACGACCTCCACGTCCTGGAGAGGGCCAGCTCGCAGTAGCACGGCACCGCTGCCGCTCGGCCGTGACTGCTTCTGTCCTCCCGCCTCGATGGGTTCGATGTCGTGGGGTTTCTGTTCTCTTCATAGAGACTCCTGGGATGTTCTGTCACATGACATTTGCCATTGAAGAATAAATAACCCAGTGAATCCAGCAAGATGAAGAAAAAAATGTACCGAGTTACTCCCAGACAATAGCAAGGAATCGTCTTTGCGACAGGCAGCTTTCCGGAAGGAATGCTGCTGAAATGCCCCCTACTTTTATAGTAGTTTTGTTTTATATTTTTGAAATCTTGTATCAGATCCAAAGTTCTATTGTACAGCAGATGTTCATAAAAATCCATATGCAGATTTGTATTTTATAATCCCTTTTCACAGCCAGCACACAGCAGTCCATTCCAAGGCAGGAACCTGAGGATTGGTGGAGGGGAAAAGAGAACCATTCTCAAGGAATTATATTCATTTTCTAGCAAACTACCCAAGATCTTCAAGTTAACCTGTTCTTTGCCCCTTGTGTGTTTTTTCCTTTTTCCTCTTTTCTTTCTTCTTTTTCTGTTTTTCTTTAAGAAAAAAGAATATCATTTTAGTAACTAACTCCTTAGGTGGTCCATGTCTTTTGCAATATATTCAAACAATGTCAAAAGAAATTACAAGTTTGTGCCCTTGAAGAATTTGCGTTTGATCCAGCAAGTTTAATAGTTACTAGAAGGGGATTATGAATAGGTTACAAAGAATGTTCACTGAATCACATTTTAATATTTCTTTTTAACAAAAGTGTGAAGAAACTTTATGTATCTTCATACAAGTGACAAAATGTTTGCACTTTAATTGTGTTCCCACCAGTATGGGTCTCTTTCTCTTCCTTTTCACGCTAAGATAATTGTGTTTGGTAAGTGCTGGAAACCTTTTTAATAGTTTAAGTTTTCATCATTTGCAGATGCTCACTGGACATTAAGATTCATTGCACATAAATGAAACAAAACTTTTTTCAACTTGTGTAATTTGCAAGTCTGTACAATGTGTGCTGATGCAAGCCTTTTTCAGTTCAAAAGAATAAATGTTTACAAACACAAACTCTTTCAGTGCACTTGTTTAAGCTTCTAGGAGTCTTCTGAAACCTGGATGAACTCATATTAATGGCTGGAATCCTTTCAAATGTGAGAAAAGACCTTATTAGAACCTCTTAAAAACCACCTGCTGTTCCTCCTCTAGCATTTATGTTATCCAGCCCTTCATAATATTTAAATGTTTTCTCTGTATAAGTGAAAAAGAGAAAATAATCAGATGCTGTAAGGGACTGATCCTGATTTTCTATTTTTGGCTCAGGAACTGATTTGCTGTGTAGACAAGCAACTGCTTGGTCACTTCATAAGGCTATCATTTTGTGCATTTGTGACTTCTGAAAGAGGAAACTCAAGGTAAACTTTGTGTTTAAAAACACTTTACAAGGGGATAAAGGTGAAGAATTAAGGTGCCTAAATCATCATTCATTGTTCATACAAATTATTCTATCCCTGAACACCCAAACAGTGATGAAGTACTTGGAGGAAAACCTAGAAAACTGATCTGTCTGGGAATAATGTAGCCTAATAAATTAGTTTTATGGGACTTGTTTCTGTGAAATGCTGTAGTAACAGGCATTTACTAAATGTCAGCTTAGATGCTTCCCTAAAACAAAGGGGAGGATGTTCACCTTCAAGATAAAAGACAAATCTACCATTCCAGCCTGCTTTTCTAAAAGGACAGTACTTGGAATGGAAGTTGTGCTTGACTGAGGATGTCAGGATTTCTTGCTGCTCCTTGGGCTGGACTGCTGCAGTTCTCTGCACCCAAAGCCCCAGTTTCTCAGTGACCCCCTCCTCTGAACAGCACAGACAGCAGGACTACTGCCTGCATTGGGTCACTGCCTCCTGCTGATTGCCATGCTAGTTTAGGATTATGGTTTAATCCTGTAGAAGTAGCTAAGAGATTAAAGGGCTGTAGGGACAGGTGTCTCAGCCCAGCAGGGCAGCTGCCTCCCATCATTAACTCATTCCACAACAAGATTCTTCCAAGATGTAGAAGGGCAGGCAGTAGCTCAGAGCTTCCATCTATTCTGAATGACCCCAGCACTAAATCTGCATCAAATCAAACTCTTTCCAAAGGATGTTGCATGGCTTGCTGCATTTCACAAACTGTCCTCCCAATAAACAGAGAAGAAAAGGCAATGTGAGGTAAGCATGGAGAATGCAGCCCAAACAACAGCAAGGGAGGGATACACTGGTTAGGAATAAGGCACAGAAAATATTTAATTTTTATCAAAGAATTTATAAACTTGAATGCAAGTTGCCCTAGAATAAAAAATGAAAACATAAAAGAAGCCAGTTGTATTCTAATGCAGAAACTGACCCTTTCCAGTTAGGTCTGCCCTCCTTTCTGAGTATGTTTCACTCTGTGTTAAACAGGGATGGTTACATTATTTTATCTGGAAGTGTTGCTATGAGCCACACGGGTACAATGCACAGAACTTTGGCACTGCCAGAGGCTTCTGATGTGGGCAAAGTATTAAATTACTTCCACTTCACAGTTGTGTTTATTCCTGGGTTTGTGCTATTTCATACTTTCTCTAGCAAGCAAACAGGATCCAAACTCATCTAACCAAGACACTTTATACCTTCCTGGCCTTTATACCCTTCTGCCCCTTTTGGTTCCTTAAACCACATAAGCTCAGGCACTATGTGCAAAACCCCTGGAACTGCATTTGTTCCATGGATTTGGATCATGGTCTAGAAAGCAAATAAAACTGCTTTATGCGTGTCAAAGGCATTCTTATGTTCTAAACAAATCTTTTAGTACTCCAGTGCATTTGAGCTTCCTCTCATTTACCATTAAAGCTATTTTTAAAGCAAATAGTGGCAAAAAGAATTAAGTGGGAACTTCCATTGCAACAATATAATATGTTTTGTTTTACTGAGAGCATGTCTTAAGTTTTAAAACTAAGGAAAAGCACTGGAAGAATAAGCAGAAAAGCTGAACAAATGCAGCCACGACCTACTCCACTAAAAGCTACTATTTTGTGATTTTAATTTTTAATTAACACACTTATGTTGTAAAATTTCTCCCTGAATTTCCCTGTGAATACTTAATATAATTTCTGATACTACGGTCAAAAAAGATAATTAAAACTTAAGAATATAAATGTAAGCCCCATACTTTGAGGACTCCCCAAACCACATGGGCCTGATGCTGGAATTGTATGGCTCGTTCCAGCACACCCCAAAACATCCTCACAGCTCACGTGCCTGCCAGGCTGTGGCTGCTGCACTTTGGTAAGGCAGGGTTGGGAACATGCATCTTGCATCTTCCCTGACATTCCTCCCTGAGCAAATGTCACCTGTTCTAATATGAAATGTTTTTCTTTCACTCACATACACTTAGAAAAATGGCATGAAAAGGAGCACGGTGTCTATGAAGACAAACTGTGCTGTGGTGTACACAGGCTGCAGTGCTCGGGTGTCTCCACCTGCAACCACCCCTGACCCTTTTGTAGGACACGTGATGTTTGAAGATCCGGGCAGTACAGGGCAGCTGTTTGCAGAGGGGGTTTTACCAAAGCACCAGAAGGACTGTGTAGCTCAGTGAATCCAAAAAGGTGCCTGGGTACACAACATGCCTTTCCCAGGGAGAAGTTTTTACCTATTTCCTATCTTCTTGCAAGCCAGTTCCCTCTCAAGGTGGAATGAATAGTTGTATTCTCATCCTATGACACTCATTTGTGCCTTAAAACTTCACACTTGACTTGTTTGTTGTTTTGAGTTAACCTTGTGTTAGCTTGGATGCCTGGAAGGGAGTCAAAATTACAACTTTTTATAAGTACTATTTAGCTCCATTATATATTTTTTCCACATAAAATTGGTGCAGGCTTCAAGTTCCTGTATTCAGCCCTGAAGCAGAGAATGTTTAGATGAAGCTTTGGAGAAAACTGACCAAAACACTTTTAAGTAACAGGTCATGAAAAATTATTGTAGCTGGAATTTTTATATATTTCTAACTATGAAAGGAATTATTTCAATCCCTTCAATCTTTCTACAGGTTGATTTTCATGAAGGTTGATGCACTGCCACTTCTCAATGTCCTACTCCTACTCACATTTAAAACATTTTGTGTTTTTTGGCTATTTATGTCAGTAAGTATAAAATTAAAGTGCACAATGTTAATGTGACTTCATTTTGGAAGCTTCATTTCTTGGGTGTAGACCAGCACCCTTAAAAGGCCCTGATTTCCAGGGCAATCTGAAAATTAAGCCCCTGTGAGTTATCTTATTCTGGAACCTAAGAGCAAAGTCTCCATCCACATCCAAAACCTTCAGTGTAAATTAAGTTGCCTCTTGGATTACTTGAAAATGTGTGCAATTATGTTCTTACCATGACGTGTATGAGCCTCCTCTTACTTCAGTGTCTGCCTTGTGTCCTCAGACTCGCAGGGCCGGGGTTTGGCCCTGGCTCAGTTCAGCAGCCCTCACCACAGGGTTTGGCTTTTATCCTGCTTGCAGCTATGTGATGTTCCGTGATGTCTGTTGGGTTGAAAGTGGAACCTGCTGAAGACATGATTAAGCATTAAAATTTGGTCCAGGGCACAAACACTTCAGTGTTTTTTGCTGCTATTTTTTTCATTTTCCATTCTCACTGGTAAAGCTCATGCACTGAGTCATTATATGGGATGCTTGCACCTGTAATGGACTGTGCCTGCACTTGGGAAGAGAAACCAGAATGTCAGATGAGCCTGGTGCTGTAAACCAAAGAGCTGTAGAGGACAACCTGTGTGTCACTGGCAGCTGTATGCTTTTAAAACTGGAATAAGTTATAAAAATAAACTGTGTTGCTGTGGATAACGCTTAACGGTGAGGTTTATTCTTAATTCAGCTGGGAATCTGAATTAGCTGGGATTGATGGGGACCCACGGTGCTGACAGCAGTGGAATGCCTCAGACCAGGTGAGCAGAGGTGAGGGCACGCTCGGCACTGGCTGGGCACGGACTGGCTCCAGCACCAAGGGATCTGTTACACTTGAGCTCCCAAAATTACCTGGCAGTCTGAAAAGAGTATTTACAAGCAATATTGTGCATCATACTTCAATTACAGTGGTCTCAGTTTGAACTTGAGAGGGAGAAGCTGGCATTCTGCTTTTTTTCTCATATCCTAACTTTTGCCCTAGTTGTAGGGTTAATTAGCTTTGCCTTCTTTGGTTTTCCAATGTAGTTAATAAGAAACATCATTATTAAGTGTTTTCTGATAGTCTACCACACTGATTTATACAATCTGGGAAATATACCACACCTGGAGTCCACAGTTGCTCAAATTTGCTGACTTTTTACTTGGCTTAAACTGATACCTTTGATTTGTTAATTAACTGCTGATTTAGGGTGAAGCAACCGTGCAATTTAACACAGGAATTCCCTAATAAAGATACTTTCCATTTTGATCCAGATGGATGTGTTCTAGTTTTGGGGAGAAAAAAATACTCTCTTAGAATGCAAATTACTGCCTTGCATTGTTTCCCATTCCAAAAACTGAAAACACACAAGACACCCCCCTTCAAAGGACTGAATCCCAGGTAATGCTACAGCTGTCAAACTATTTTTTCCCAATAAAATTTTCTGCTTACTAATCTGGTCTTTTTCTAGGCCTACAAACTGCAGACCTCTGTTGTTTCCAGACACACCTGTGCTAGAGGCTCTCAGATGAACAGCAAAGGCATATCCAACAGTGACCCTACAGTTGGAGAATTCCACTTCTAAAATTGTAGTTATTTAAGAATAATGTAACATAAATAATTCCTGAGGATCTAAGAGATTGTACACCTTCACAAAAATTACATGTCCGGTCAATAATAAGCCCTTCTTTTTCTTCCTTGATTCAAGTGTTATGGAAGAGTCTGAAAATCAGATTTGCAAAACAATCTTCAAAACATACAGTGTTCAACATTTCACTCACCCCTCTCGTGAAATTTGGCTTCCAGCTTAGGGTTCCAAATCCAATACAGTAAATGCAAACTACAGTTGCTGGAAATGCCAAGAGAATTAGTGCAACACATCCAAATTTATTAGAGAATTCAAGATACACCTTACAACCTAACCTCCTCCTCTAAAAGCACTTGTGTAACAGAGATGTCTCTGTTCATCTCCAAAAACAAATTTAGTTTGAGACAATCCAACCTGTCTCATTGCCCTTAAATCTGTTTTGTATCATAAAGAAAATACAAAAATATCTGATTTTTTTTTTAAATCCATCTCAGAACCACGTTCTGATGGTATTTCTTTAAGAAACTTCATAGGCATGACACACATGCAAAGCTTACCCAGTGAGGATTATTGTGACACAATTTCCACATGCTGCACCTTGGGAGAGGTAAAACAGACTTTGTACACTGTTGTCAACACTGATTTGCTTCCTTTTCACTGTTAAGTCTGAAGGATTTTTTAGTTGTTATTATCCAGTTACACAAGGTATGGCAGTGAAAGATTTCCAGACCGAGAGACTGTGTTTTTTGGCCTTTCAATATTTGAGTACCTGCCTCAGCAAGTCACCCAGTACAGTCACAGTCCTAATGGTGTTTTAGAAAAGCTCAAGTGCAGTGTTCTGTCCAAAATGCTATCATCAGAGCACTTGACATCAACTGTCCTGTCCTCGTTGCTGTGAAATGTCTACCAAGGAGTCCTCCTGCCTTGCTGGCTGTGCTGTGCCAGTCCCTCACAAAGCCTGGGAGCATGGAGGATGTCCTGGCTTTGCCTCTCGTGCAGGATCTCTGCACACCATACCTTATTTTTGTTCTATTTAACATGGATTTCTGTCATTTCCTCCATCACTTTTCCCCCCAGTCAAACCCTTGCCTCCCCCAGGGTGGGTGCTGGGGCAGGGACAGCTGTGACCATCGGTTCTCCAGCCCCGGGTGCAGGAGGTGCCCCTTCCTCTGGCAGCTGCCTCACAGAATCATGGAATTGTCAGGGCTGGAAGGAGCTCTGGACATCACCCTGTCCAACCCCCTGCCAAGGCAGGATCACCTGGAGCAGCGACACAGGAACGTGTCCAGGTGCATCTGGAAAGTGTTCATAGCAGGTGACCCCACACCCTCCCTGTTCTACCCCCAATGTAAAGCTCTTCCTCACGCTGAAGTGAAATTCCTTGTACTTTAGTCTATGCCCATTGCTCCTCATCCTGTCACGGGGCACAACTGCAAAGAGTCTGGCACAGTCCTCTTGGTACCTGGCTTTGAGATGTTTATATTCTATTTGAGGTATTTATTCTGCATTACAGAATTACACAGTTTAGGAAAGACCTTTGAAATCATAGAGTTCAAACAGACCAAACACCACATTAACCAGACCACGGCACCGAGTGCCACATCCAGTTTTTCTTCAAAAACTGAGAGGAACCGCGAAACCACCACCTCCCTTGGCAGCCTGTTCCAATGTCCAGACAACCCTTCTGAGAAGAGATTTTTTCCTGATGTCCAACCTAAATCTGCCCTGGCGCAGCTCAAGGCCGTGCCCCATCGTTCTGTCGCTGGTTCCGTGGGACAAGAGCCCGACTCACACCCGGCTCCACCCTCCTGTAGCTGTACACACCAGCAAGGTCCCTCAGCCTCTTTTTCGCCAGGCTGAGACGCACCCCCGGCCGCTCCTCACAGGACGCGTATAAACGAGATCCCCTCTCAGCCTTCCCTTCCCTAGGCTAAACACGGGCAGCTCCCAGCGCCTCTCCTGACGCCCCGAGCCCGTTCCGCAGCGGGACAGGACACGGGGCACCGCCGGCCTGCGGAAACACTGCCAGCCATTGCCAAAGCCCCAAGATGGCGCCGGGCTGAGGGGGGCGGGACCCGCCACCGCCCCCCGCGCGCCATCGGGGAGGNCGGCGGCGGCGCAGGCGCGGTGGCGGTGTCGCGGAGGGCGGCGGGTCCCGGCGGTGCCACGATGTGGTTCGGCGGCTCCGTCCCCGCCGCCATCGCCGCCGCCAAGGAGCGCAGCTCCGTCTTCGTCGTGTTCGTGGCAGGTACGGTACGTCCCGGGGCCGCCCGCCGCCCTCACCGGCAGGGCCCAGCAGCGCCTTCCCAGCTGTGTCCCGCCCGCCGCCCCTCCCGCCGAGCGGGATTTGTGCTGTGTCAGCCCCAGCCCGCGGTGTCGGTGTCCGGCCCCCGCCCGTCCGGTGGGTCGGCTTCCCTCCGTTGTGCGCCTCTGCACTGGATTCTGGCCGGTGCAGCTCTCCGGCTGCTCGTTGTGTGTTGTTTCCTTCCCTCGTACCGACGCTGCGCGTTTCATAACACTAACTGGAACCTGTAGGAATTCACATCGCCTTGTGCACGCTGCCTTTCTCTGTGGAAAAAGATGGGAAAGAGGGACACAGTCTGGAGCTGCGCCAGGGGAGGTTTAGGTTGGGTGTTGGGAGGAATTCCTTCCCAGAACGGGTGGTTGGACATCGGAACGGGCTGACCCGGAGGTGCTGAGGAAAGACTGGACGTGGCACTCAGTGCCATGGTCTGCTTGACAAGGTGGTGTTTGGTCATAGGCTGGACTCGATAGTCTCAGAGGTCTTTTCCAACACGATTGAAGCTGTGATACTCTGTGCTTAGACAGAGTATCTTTAACTGATTTTTCAGCTTTTGCGTATATCTGTGTGCGTTTTTTCTTAAGATTTAACTGTTGCCTTACGTGCTCGTGGCTTGAAGATTTTCAGGTGCTTCATAAAACAACAGCAGTGTTGAATGTGTGACTTGGTGTTCCTTAAGAACAGTTGAACTGTGGGACTCACGTGGCTTCAAGAAGTTCACTCCCAAAGGGAATGTGAATAGAAAAGTGCAGTTAAATTCCTTTGCTGACACAACTCTCCATGTACTTGGAGAACAGCATTTTCTGCTGGATAGTAAATATACTGATAGAAATCGAGGTCTTGTCAGACCGCAGATTGGGCTGCATTGGTGTTGGAATAAGGGACGGGGTGGAGCAGTTCATGAAGAACCTCAGCCCTTGGGAAAGAGTCACATTGCACAATTTGGGAGGGACCCCCTGCTGGAAGAGTATGAGGAGGCCAGCCCCTGAGGAGGAAGGAGCAGCAGAGACAAGGTGTGAGGAACTGACTGCAGGAAGGGTTGGGCGGAGATTTGTTTTTATTTCCCATGATCCCACTCTGATTTTTGATTATTAATAAGTTAAATAAATTTTTCCCCAAGTCAAATCTGTTTTGCCTGCAAAGATTACAGGTAAGTGATCTCCCCCTGCCCTTATCTCTTCCCATGAGCCTTCCATTACATTCTCTCCCCTGCCCAGCTGAGGAGGGCAGGGACAGAGGGACTTTGGTGGGCCCCTGAGTAGTTTCAACTTGATACATAAATCAGGGGGAAATGCATGTTGTAACTTATGTTTGGCAGGCCTCTGAGTAGTTTCATACATACACTTGATACATAAATCAGGGGGAAATGCATGTTGTGACTTATGTCCAGTATTATTTATGAAACAAAAGTTCTGCACAAAATGGGGCCCGTTAGATTCTGATGTTGACTAGGTGGATGTAGGAATATATAGGTATACAGGGGAGATAAATTTATGGTTGCAGGAATGTAACCTAATTTTGTCACTGTGTGTGCTGTGAGGATTTGTTTTGTTTGTTCTTATGATCCCTGGAAAAGGCAGAGCATGACTTCAGCCAGGCACATCTCTGAAAGGAAAGAGTTGGAGAGTTCTGCTGACACCCTGGGCACCGTGGGATCGGGCAGCTGACCGTGGCAGAGCTGATCATGAAACTGTTCTGTTACATGTGCTGGGAAGCCCAAGAACTTTCTCACTGTGTGTGCAAGCAGCTGTGTTTGAAGGATGTGGAGTGCTGGAAGAATAGTCTGGTTTTGTGTTAGCACAGATTGGGTTTGTTGTTTGTGTAGAAACATGTTTCAAACTGCACAGTGATGGTACTTTACACCCCACACTTCCTGCTGGAGACAGGCATTTGAAAGCACCTGGAGAACAGGCTTTTAGCAGTGTTTGGTTCTGTACACTTCATCCAATAATATATATGGAAGAAAAAAACCAATAAAGGAAAAAAAGAGATAAATTGAAAATATAAGTTAACTATCGTTTTGGGGTGGCCATTGTGGAGGATAGCTATTAGGTACAGTTGACAAAAATTAGGAACTTCTAATTGGACAGATGTGTCCATCTGCTTTTGGTTTCTGCTAGCATCTGCTTGTCCCTTTCTCCCTCTCCTTTGCACTTCACTTACATTTTCTCTAGAAAATTAAGAAATTGATTATTCTGTCTGCTTCCAGAGTATTTTCTAGTCAAGCAAGGAATAATGTGGTTATTTACCTTAAAAATGAGGTGGCATTTGTGATTGTAAGTGTATATTGTTCGAGCAGGTTTCTCTTAAAGCTTTTTTGCTTGCAGCCATAATCCAGCATTTTGGAGCTGTGTTTAAAACCTTCCTGGCACATTCTGGTGGCAGGATGGTGTGAGGGTATTAAAGATGCCATTGAACTCATGGGAAGTTGCAATAAAAGGGATTGCTCCATTCTGCCCAGAGAGCATGAGGTGAAGCAGGTCTGCCTTAGGAAACTGGTTTGAAATATTAAGGTGAGATGTTAGGGGCCTCTGGACACACCAGGTAAGGGGGTTGTGTTTGGGGAACACAGGAGTTACTTTGTGGCATCAAGCAGCAGCTTCCCTGTGTTCCTGCACAGGGAGAGGATTCCTGACAGTGAAACAGGTCTGGCAATGCAGGTGCCCCAGGGGATGGTGAGAAGTTGTGTCAGGGGAGGTGCAGGCTGGGTATCAGGAAAAGCTTCTGTCCCCAGAGGTGTTGGGCAGTGGAACAGGCTCCTCAGGGAAGAGTTCAGGGAGAATTTGGAAAACGCTCTCAGGTACATGGGAGGATTTTTGGGGTGTTCTGTACGGGGCCAGGAGTTGGACTTGATGATCCTTGTGGGTCCCTCCCAACCCAGAATATGTGATGGTTTTATGAACATTCCTGGTATCTTGTTGGTAGCTGTTCTACAGATGATTTTGTAGCCTACAGGGTTAAAAAGCCTTTGATCCTTTGAGTCACTAGTTGATAATTCATTTGATACGAAACCTCCTCTGCTCTGACTGAGGTGTTGCAGATTATTTTATATCTTTCCAAAGGTTAGACATGTTCTCATCATTAAAATACCAGGCCACTCATAAAATGTGCTTTTCAGAGTGAAAAAATAAAAGGGTATGTGTGTGACAATAAAAAGCTTTAAATTAAAATGTTTGTTTCTTTTTAGTGATGTTTGTAGAAACCTTCCTTCCTCCCTTTGTTCATTACTTTACTATTTTAGTAATTTTTTTACAAAATGGTGGTTTGCACACATAAGCTGTTTGTTAGTTAGCAGGGGAGGAGGTGAATGGTTTAATGTCCTGGCTTCCTGGCATTTCCAGAATGGCAATCCTCTCTTACTTTTGTAGCCAAGATGTATCAAGGCACTCTGAAAGTTAAATAAGTGAAATTATGCAGGGGAGGAGGAGGTGAATGGTTTAATGTCCTGGCTTCCTGGCATTTCCAGAATGGCAATCCTCTCTTACTGAGCAGTTATGAAATGTTGGACATGGAAAAGTAAGTTGGGCTTAACTCTCTCCTTCTGAAAGGAAAACACTTCCCTGATGACTGTGTGCTGAGGGGAATTAAAGTCTTCTGACAACCTGTGATGGTTTTGGGTAAGTTCCCCATACAGGAAGTAAATTATTGCAGAAAAAGAGTCTTGTCCAGTATGTGAGTCATTTGAGAAATGATTGATGTTTTCCCTATGTAGGGTATTCCACCTGGCCAGATTTAAGAGATGAGGAGGTGTGACTGTCAGTTGTTTACAGATCATTCCACTAAGTGAAATAGAGTGATGTTTTTGTTTGAGAAACAAGAAATCTGAGAGTTTTGGGGTCTAGAATTATGAGGCTGTTGTGCTGACTCAGTGTTTAGCAGAATTATGAATTATGTCAAGTTCTGTTGCACTTGACCTCTTGACTTTTCTGATGTTTTTCCTGTGACCTGGCAGTTTTGATTTCAGGATATAATTACTGCTACAAACTGTAATAAATGAACCCTAACCCCTAAATGAGAAAGGGTTATCAAAACAAAAAGATGTATGAGGATAAGCAACTGTTCAGTGGGTAGTCACAATATTAATCAGTGCATCATGGCACAGAGCTTTATAAAATGTGAGCTATCAGCATTTCCATTCAGTCATCTCTCAGACTGTACTGTGAGCAGCCTCTGCCCTGTTTGTGTCTTTCAGCATTCTTTTTTCTCCAGCAGTTGGCTGTGTGGAAAAGTTAGTGTCAGGCAAGTATTTAGATATTTTTAGTAGCCTAATCAGATGAGCACATGTCCTTTTGAAACAGTGTGTGGTGAAGCAGCTGCCTGCCTGTGAGCATTTGGAAACAGGAGAGGAGGCCGAGCCGCTCTGGGCACAACAGCTGCATTGACCACACTTGGAAGCACTGCACTTAAAGCAAGAGGAAAGGTTCCCACGTAAAATAGCCTAAATATTTGCTTGCTTATGCAGAAGAATAATAATAGAGGTAGATACTTTCTTACTTGCTCCAGTAATTCCAGGGAAAAATTGAGACAAGTGGTTGAAAGCCACTTTTCCAAAATTATATTTTTGATACGTGGCCCTGTGAGAGGCCTTGTGACCAGACAGCAGCACTTCACTGGGAGATTCCACATGCAACTCCTGATCTTTAACAAGTCAAAAATATTTCATGGAATGGCAACTGGGATGAAACAAACAAGTGGTTTGTTGTTGTCACTGAATAATGGACTTCTA